TTATGTTAATAATTCAAAAGTGAGAGGAAGAGTCAAACCTTTGCTCCCCCTGTTGTCACAGAAATAATAACAATAGTTTCAGTACTCGTGGAACTATTCTAAGAACTTTACATGTAACTTTGACAGTCCTTTGAATCAAGAAACATCATCCCTGTCTCACACACTATGAACTATAGACACTAAGTTACTTGCACAGTCACCGATGTAAATTTCAAACCTAGGTGCCTGCCTTGAAGCTAGTTTCCTCACCACATAGAGCCATCAATACGACAGCTTGCACAAAGCTGGACACACATTCAGATGTTCATACAGTGCTAGTTATAGAAATCAGCTATGCCTGAGCCTTTTTCAAGTAGAATGTAATGCAACCACTTCACACATGACTCTATAACAAGGTAAGGAAAAGTCCACAGTGTGTGTGGTGGGAAATAAGGATCTGTCATTCCAAATGTGGAAAAAAATGCATCTATGTAGACTTAGGCAACAAAAAAGTTTAAATTTTTCCAAGATTTTTAGAGCAGAAGATATTCCCCATTAATCCCCCTCAAATTACTACTCCCCACTCTGTTGCTTTGACCACACTTACCCATTACTGTTACCACTTTCTGAAGCAGTTCCAGAGGCCTTCTTTCATGAGCATCTTTAGTTGTGCTGTGGTGGCTGTGTTGTCCTGAACTGTTTGCCTTCCATGGTCATTCTGATTTGGGGAAGAGCCAGAAGTTGCGTGGGGCCAGGTGAAGTGATGTGGACACTACAGCGTCCTGACGAGGCCGCTGTCCTGCTGCAGGGCGCTCAGCCTCACCATTCACTGTTTTGTTTTTTTTTGTTTTTTTTTATCACATCTCTTAAATACATGAGAGAAATCTTTCAGAACTTCTTCAGAGTGGCAAGAATGAAGGGGTGAGTGTATTTTGAGGGGAGTTATTAGCAACATGGCTTATAGTAGCAATTTTCTTTATTTGAACATTTTTTTGTATATTTGATGACACTTTATGTTTACTGGATTCTTGTTTGAATTTTTAAAAAGCAAAGGCTAAGTAGTTGTAGTTCTTGACATATTGTTAGTTGAATCTTTTTTTAAAAGTATCTAACATTAAGAGAAAGAGAGTTAATTACAGTTGCTGAGTGGGCCATTTTCCAAAATTGATGGAAAAGCTTCTGCCAAGGGCAGTTTATATTTCTTAGTTTACTGAATAAGATGAAATACTGCACAGCTAGAAAAATGGGAGAGCAAAAGGAATAGCCTCCGGCTGTGATTGCTGTCAGCATCTGATAGGAAATGCACTAGGAAGACCTCCTGTCAGATATCCTGAGGGGTCGGTCCATCCTGTTGCAGCTACAGAGAGCTCCAACTCCTTAGGGCTGCTCAGCTAAGTAAGTGAGGTGACTTGTGGGAGATCCTGTTGTACCATTGTGCCTCCTCAAAGCAGGCACCCTAGTAGTGATTGTTAGTATTGATGTCAAAGAAATATTTGGGGTCAAATTACTACAGAGTCTGTCCTGTAAATTACTACATAAGTTCTTATAATACCAGGCTCATTCTTATCTGAATTGAAGCACAAACTCCCTAGGGGAATCGAGTCTAACTTATCCACCACTATGTCACCAGGTACATAGCAGACACTCGACAAAAATCTCCAATGTTAAATAAACCAAGGAGAATATTCAGAGAAGAAAGAAGCTGATAGAATTTCATACTGCTTCATGTAGAAGACTAGAGCACTGTTTATTTCATTTTCTGCATTGACTGGATTGGCCTTATGACCCTTGTACTTCAGTTTCTAGGGTACCTGGGATTACAGGTGTGTGTCACTGTGCCAGGCTACTTCTAGTTCATATTTAAAAAAGAAGCCTTTAAGAGCATTAAATGTATGTCATTTAACCGATAATAGTCCTTTAAAATAAAAATCATGCTTGCCTAAGATAAGGGATAGCAGACAGTGGACACATTGTTTAACTACTTGCCTTTTTGCTTTTAGAGGAAGTCGGTGACAGCATAAAATGATGTGAATTTGAAGTCTTCTGTTTTTGAGAGATTCAACTGTGTCCTGTTCCATGTGTGTTTTGTTTTAAATGATGCACTTACAAACATGCATCACTCACTTGCTGTTACCTTACCACTATACATTTTTAACAGGCTTTATTGTCACCTGGCTTTTTTTTTTTCCTCTGACAGGCTAGCATCTCAAGTGTTGGAAGCACACATCCCCTGATCAGGACCCTGGCCTTTCTCTTCAGTGTACACTAGGGTCTTCCTACCCAACTGCTTTCATTCACACCTGCCTGCCTTGTCAGCAACAGTGTGAACTTTCAGAATGAGTCCAACTTGGTCTATTTTTCTGTGGAAGAAATTATTCTAATGAATAATTATAATAATAATCATTTATTATAATTATTCTAAAGAATTCTAATAATTATTCTGAGTGAAAAGTTTACATCACTTACTAACCCAAACAAATTCTTTCCATCTCCTCCAAAAAAAAGTTCAGGTTGCAATCTTGTTTTTAAAAAGTCTCTAGATAAAAGTGTCTCATGGTAAAGATCCACAAAATGCCCACTCCTCCAGGTTGATGGAACTGATTAGAGGCAGATAAAGCTTATAACCTCAAATATCACTGGAGAGGACACTGAGTCTTGCAAGGGCCTTTTTAGATCTGCAGAATGTGAGGTACTGTCTCTGTCCATCTGAGATCATTATTTGTCCTTAGTCATGAAGGTGAGGCACCCTCCAAGCCCTTCCAGGCATGCACTCATGCACACTAGACATTGATCCAGAGACTGATGGGAGCCTCATTGCTGGGTTTTAAGCACCACATTTGTTTGGTTGACTCCAAAGATGAGTAACTTGGGAGAATTCCAGATGTGATAAGTCCTTGCCCTCAGTAGGCTTTATCATTTTTCCTGTCCTACTGATATGCTCTATTCTAACCCCTACTTTTCCTCTGTCCCCAGTAATCCAATTAGACAACCAAAAATATCATCAGTGATTAGTTTTTCTTGTTTTTTCTTACTTTCTGTGAGTTTTGGTAAGGGTAGAAATTTTCAAGAGTCAAAACCTATTTTATAAGATAAATTGTGCAATTCATTTACATTCCGGGATGTGGCTTAAATCTATCTCACATTATACTGTTTGCCTTAAGTAGAAGCTCCTTATTTAGGAAAGCCTCTGCTAGCAGCATTTATCATAGGAACACTTTGTAATGGAAGGGATGAGGCTTGCTGATATTCTCCCAAACACCTAACATTTCTACTGCAAACACCCTGTACCTTGTGTTAGTTCATCGTTATTACTGTAGCAACTGAGGCTGAGTAACTTTATGAAGAAAATAAGTTTCATGAACTCACATTGCTCACAGTTCACAGGCCCTGGCACCAGCCTAGCTCTATTAAGGACCACATGGTAAGTGGCCCATGGGAGAAAAGTTACAAAAGGAAGCCAGAGAGCAATTCAAGGGTTGGGCTTGCTTTGAGGAGAACTATCTTCATTTTTTCTGAAGAGCCTACCACTAGGCCCCACTGCTTTACCTGGCCACACTGAAAACCAAGCACCCAATACAGTAACAATCGCAGAGCAAACCACAGCATCTCCATAGTACAGTTGATGTTCAGAAATGTCTCACATTCATACGCACCCAGTAGGAGTGCTCCACAGAAGATGCCACACAGCAGCCTAGGCAGCTCACCGAGAAGGAATTGCAGTTGCGTGTTCTGTTTTGTTTTCCTTTTTGGCACAGAAGTGTTGAGAGACACTGTTGCTTCCACCCTGTCATTAGTGGGAGGGTGATGGTGATATAAAATAAGAGATGAATTAGGATAATAAGAGGCAAAGAAGAAAGGAGTAAATTTTCCACAAGTAATATTTTTCTCTTCATGGTTATTTAACTTTGAAACAGAGCTTGAAAGCAGTAATCATGGTTCTACAGTAGACAAAGGGCTGAAAGTAGAAACCAGACAGGAAGGTGTGAATGCCTTTATTACATTAACTGCAAACGTACAAAAAATGCACAGCTTCCAGGAATGCACCACTGTTTCCATCATGGAAAAGGAGCCATCACAGATGGTTGCTGTGCTGCCTGTGCACCTCTCTCCCCTTGACTACATCCTTTAAGGAGTGTCTGCATCTTGTGCTTTTCTGTGTTTGCTTTTTAGGTTTTTCTTTAGATCATTTTGTGCAGTGGGTAGTAGTGAAACACCATCAGGCACAGGAAAAAAATAAAAGCCTTTAAATTGGATGAGCATAGCAAGGGCCTGAGTTCAATCCCCAGTTCTGGAAAAAAAAAAAAAAAAAAAGGATGAACAGGTGTTTACAGCTCTCTGACCAACAATTACCTTCAGTATTGTGTGTCCAAAATAAACAAATGAGACCTGTTTACATTCATACCTTGATGGAGCCAGGGATAATGTCAAGTGCCTGCCAGCTAGACACTAGGGATGCGTTGACAAAGACACAGACAAAGAAAATCAGAAACCAACAGTAACCACAGGTAGTGTCCTAAAGGCTCTCAATAAAAATATGGTATAAGCTGTGTAGGGGTGTACTTGCTTTCTACTGGGAGAAGCAGGGTCTTCTGAAGGATTTTAATGGAAAACTAAGGAAGTGCTTGAAATGGGGGGAGAGAGGATGGTACAATCCTGGTTTCATTTGAAGATTATTTTAGTAACTCTAGAGCTGGAATTGTAGAGAACCCAAAATAAAAAGAAGCACATAAAGCCCTGAAGTGAATCGAAAGATTCCTGGGCTTCCTCAGCAAAATGGCTTTAAAAGGTTCTTTACATCTCATGACACTCTGGTTTGGAAATAATAGCTATTATATTATTTTGTACTATACTTTTCACCAGTAGGTAATTTTATAAAGGTCTGAAAAAACTTTGACTGTAGAATGTTCTATCAGTTCCCTCATAACATGAATGCTGCTTCTATTAAAAAAAAAAAAAAGTTACATTTTGTCATCTGCACACGTAGAATTGCAGTTTTATAATCTTTTTCCCTGTTTACTCAGCTCCCACAGAACCATTATTGTGCAAGTTTGCAGATGGAGGACAGAAGAAAAGACAGAACCCAAACAAATACATCCCTAATGGAAGACCTTGGCATAGAGAAGGAGAGGTGAGACTAGTAAGTCCTTTCTTGAAACTTCAGTGTGGGTGCACTCTGCAGAGCTCCTGTGAAGAGTTACACAGAAAGCGTCCTGACTTGGCTCCCACACTTGTAAAATAGGTGCAGGGACTGAAACTCCATATTGGTACCTTAGAGTTCAGAAGCTATCAGGTGGCAACCCTGTGCAGGACAGCTGCTACTAAAAACTGATGGGTCTCCAGAAGGACAGATAAATGCTGGACACAGCTAAGCAGTGACTAAGGAGAAGCATTCCAAAAGTATCAAGATATGTGGATGATGTGTTACTCTTGATTGTCATGGTTAAAATATAACATTTTAGGGAGATTTACACTTATAATGTTAAGAAAGTAATCTTCGGAGCTTGGTATAACTGTCATAGAGTGTTTTTAAGGGCCGGCCAAGTAACTCGGCGGATTAAAGCACCTGCAAGCAGATGCAAAAAAAAAGAAAAAAAAACAAGCATGAGATTTAAAATACACAAAAATCACCAAAACCTAAAAACACTATTTATTTATTTATTTATTTTTGTATTTTAGGGAAGGGTCTACAGGGTGCTCAGGGTCTCGCTATTAGGTCACTCACAGTGATCCACCTGTTTACAGCCTCCCAAGATCTGGGATTACAGGTGTGTGCTACCACGCCCAGTCTCAGTTGCCATCTCAGCATACCCCCAGGGCAAGGCTGGCACCGCAGGCCCAGGTATCAAAACCCCTGGCCCCTGCCCCTGCTTGCAGGCCCTTTAATCTCCTGAGCTACTTGGCCGGCCCTAAATCTCATTCTTGTAAATCTTTTTTAAATGTTCAATTTGTCATAAGATATTTGTCCTCTCCACTTTTCTACTTCTATTTTTCAATAATTTGTTTCACTAAAAATAAGTACTAGGGCCAGCCAGACAACTCAGTGGACTAAAGCACCTGCTCAGGCAGAGCACAGTGGCCAGGTTCGATCCCTGGCATGCCCTGCTGGCCCCACCCCCGCGGAGCACTGAGACAGTGATTGAGACTGGGTGTGGTGGCTTGTACCTATAATTCCAGTGCTTGGGAGGCTCAAAATAAGAGAATCACTGAGTCCAATCTACATAGTGAGACCCTGTGGACCCTGTACTAAATACATTAAAAAATAAATACAAAATAGATAAGTGCTTGTGCAGAACTAAGTACATCTGGAGAAAACATTCTAGAATCTGTACTGTCCAGTGATAACCACTAGTTACATGTGGCCACCTGAGCAATTGAAACATAGCTGTTTCCCTGGAAGGATCAAATTTTCTATTTAATTTTAAATAGCTGCATGTGGCTGATGGCAACCATGTGGGACATAGAAGGTCTACAGTTTAATTCTCTTACTGAGTTTATAATTGTACTTGGCAAACAGAAACTCCCTTTCTCAAACAGCAGTATTGTTGTCTTCTACTACAGTGACTCTTAAAAAGTAGCATTTTCAGCACTAGGGAGGCTGAGACAGGAGGATCACTACAAATCTGAACTGCATAGCGAGACCCTGCATCAAAAATAAAAATGAAATTAAATTAAAAAATAAATTTAAAAGAAGTTGAGCTTTTGGGGCCAAGGGTGTACCTCAGTGGCACAGTGTCTGTCTGGCAAGTGGAAGGTCAGAAATTCAATTCCTAGTACAAAAAACAAAAGAAGTTCTTGAATCCCACCTTTCTAGATGAACATTTATATTTCCTTTTCTTTCCTGTAGGCTGGTATGACACTTACATATGACCCAACTACAGCTGCTATACAGAATGGGTATGTTATTAAAATAAACAGATAATGGCCTGAGAGAAAATGAAGGTGGAAAATATCTGACATTTATTCCATGAATTCTTCTATTTAAAAAATTACTTAAAGGCTTTTGTGTTTGTTCTAGATTTTACCCTTCACCATACAGTATTGCTACAAACCGAATGATCACTCAGACTTCTCTTACACCCTATATTGCATCTCCTGTATCTGCCTACCAGGTTTGTACCTTTAGGGTTCCTTTGCGGTGTAACAGTCTGCTCACTGTGAGTCTCTGCTGCATTTTCATGTGTCTTAAAACTCTGAACAATTATAAAAAAAAAATTAAGTCAAATTGTATGCAGCTTGAACACCTGATTTAGCATAAGCTTCTCTGTAATCCTGCAGAGCAATTTGCTTTTATGGATAGCAAAGTGCAAAGCGGGGAAGCAGCGCTCTGGTGTCAGTCCTTGGAATCACCGCACTTCAGAGCTGGGGTGAACCCACCATGGGCCCCTCTTTTGGGTACCATATGTATCCTCAAAACTGAAAGTTGAGACAATTGAAATTAGGCAAAATACAGAGTAGGGTCATGCCCTTAGTTTTTATCTTCATTAGCAGGAACTGATTAAAGAACCAGTAAACATGCTGGTGCACAAAGGTGCTTATAATTAAGGTCCTTCAGTGAGCACTGAAAAGGAGAGCCCTACCGCACCCCCACTGTCACTAAAGAAAAAGATAGTACCTCCCTGTCTGTGTTGGGTGTTGTTTTGTGAAGCGGCTTTGCCTTCTGATAGAATCCTGACTGAGAAGGCCTCACACAACACTGTGTCCTAGCCCTGACCCCACTGTACTGCAGGTATGAGAGCTCCTGCCCCGCTTGCAAATGCATCACTCCTCCCGTACCACAGACCCTCTGCCAGACTCTGCGTCTGGCCCCACCTGGAACAGCAGGATGACAAGCTCTCTTCTGTTGACTAGTGGGATCCTGTGTAACTAACCTTTTGTGTATTGTCATTTTTAGAACAATTGGATGTTGTAGTCCTGATTTCTAGGGTTATGGGACTATAATATCTAATTTAAAAGCTGTGTTATTTAACTTCTGTAAGCCTCAGTTTTCTTGTCTTTAAAATGGGGATAATAATAGTTCCTATCCATAAGCTTGAGAGAGTTAAACTAAATGAGACTGACACATAAAGACCTCTGTATAGAACCCACCATATCATTAGGACTTTGTAAATGTAGCCTATGGTTACTGTCATCTTTAAAAGCTGGCTAATACTAAGGGAATTTAATTGTACTTTTAAAATAATAAATGAGTCACATAAGCTAGTATAAAAGCTGGTCCTGTCTGAAGTAAAAATAAATAAAATATCTTTGAATAATAGAAGTGATCAGATGCACTAAACCTGAAGTTTTTAAGTAGTACTCACCACACTGAAAACTTTCAGGTTCTTCTAGGCCTGAATTCCCCTGAATTGTCACTCATTTCCATTTCTTTATTCTCTCTGGGATGTTATTTGTCCGATGCTTTAATCTGCTGGGCATGGTATTCAGTCACTTAATGTTACTTTAATTGTGTAAGACTTAAGATTCTGTCTTTCCCATGTGTCTGTAAGACTTGTTGAGATCTGCTCTACTGCATTTGCCCTAATACACAATCTGATAGGAAAAGGTAATCTTTAACTGTCTGAACTTTGGGACAAGTATAAGCCTCCTGTTAGGAAAATGAACAGTGTGTATATTAATATTGATCTGTGTTAATATTGATGCTGTTTCAGTTGCTAAACCATCTACCACTTTAAAAGCAATATGCATTTCAGAATCATTTTATAGAACAGTATATTAGTAGGCCAACCTTGGTAATTAATTTGGTATGGCTAATTAGAAACAGCATACCATTTGAAGGCCTGGATTTGTCTACTGGGCTTCTTGCATTGTTCTAAGACACATGGAGTTTCAGTCCCTTTGCCTGACAATCCGTGCCGTATCCTGACAATTCGTGCTGTAGCCTCTCAGATAAATTCTTAACTCCATACATTAAGGAACCAGATAGAGACATTGGATGAGCTGCAGTTAAGTGATCTGTGGTCCTCTTTAGCTGGCTGCAGAGTCGTGGATATGTGTACATGTGCATGCACACATGCACACAGGCAGTTAGTTGAGAATCACAGGAGTCTGCTTCATCAGATTTTCTAAAAGATCTATGACTCAAAAGAAGTTAAGAACCAGTGGTAGAGAGTTTATTGATCATAGATTATTATTCCCATTTTATAATCAGGAAACACTGAGAAATAGAAAATGACAGCAACTGATTTGTTGCTTAAAAAAGTTGGATTAGATGTCATAGCTTCCTAGCCCTATAATGCGATCAGCAGTTAGGTTAAGACCACTGGGGCCGTAAATAAAATGGGAATCTGGCCCCAACTGGGGCGCTGTAAGGAGCTGCTTGCCTTTCTGTAATGTAACGTGTGAGGGCCCCACACTCTGCGGAATCAGCCTTTCTCCACTAAACCACCATATGCTCATACAGTTAGATTGAAAAACTGGCATCTGCAAGCAACCACCAGTATCCCAATGGGGAAAGGCCGCAGTGCAGATAACCGAAATGCTATCAGGGCAGAAGCATTTAACTTTGGTCTGCCTTAGGTGGCAAAGGAAGCCAGAGAAAACAAGTATCGGGGCTCTGCTGTCAAGGTAAATCACACTGCATTCTTCCCCATGATTCTTCCCGTATCTTATCTGTAGCATCTCTAAAGTTAGTGCTAGGGGACAGGCTACAGAAGGCTTTTGTTGCTAAGAATTGGAAACTGAAACTTATTTTTAAATTACGTAGACTTTGGAAAGCCCTGGGCATCAAAAAATGGATTGATGGACTCTTCATAAGAGGCAGATTACACATGCTTTCCTGTCAAAATCCCTAATGCTTGCCTTTTATTCCTCAGTTCAGAGGGTCCACTGTATAGATGCCCTTTTAATGGTAGATGGCAAGATCCAGTTGCTGAAGTTTAATTTCCTGAATCTGAATTTCCGATATTTATTTTCCACATTCACTAGAAATGGTTGATCACTGTATAAGATTTCAGAAAACTAATGTCCTGGGTATCAAAATAGGTTGAATGTGGGTTTTCTTAGTTTCTAATGAAATATGCTGGGATTAATCTTCATCCATATTCCGAAAGCAACCAGTTCATACCTTGATTTAATGCTCTTCACTAATTTATTCAAGTTATTTAAATTTCTTGAAAATGAAATTCCTTCTTCACCTTTTGCTTTTTGGTGCCTGACATAGTAAATATCGCTTCCATGGGCAAATAGAAATGTGTTCTAAATAATCATTTCATCCCACTCAGAGTGACCAGCTTGCCAAGAACTCTTTAACTGTTTTGATCTTTTTAATCATTGATAGTATTGTTTATTTATTTTCCTTCTGTAGATTTTTAACATGATTAAAAAGAATTCTAGACAACTAGGTAATTATTACAATGAAAATCAATATTTCTTTCAAAATCCTCCTTTTCCCAGGTGCAAAGTCCTTCTTGGATGCAGCCTCAACCATATATCCTGCAGCACCCTGTAAGTTTTTGATCGTAGTAGCCTTGTATTCTGAAAGTAAGCTATGTATGTTTCAAGCTGTTTCTCAAAAGTGGTGTAGGATTTGAGACATTTTAAACATGGAGTATGAAAAACATCCATGAGCCTTTTGCCTTAAGGCACATTAATAGTAGGCATTCAGTTAAATTTTCTGTAAGAATTTAAAACATATTCTATTTGAGGGAGAGTACTATTTTCTTAGTTGTACCAGCTCAGCAGGAGATCCTTCAAGATAAGCAATTTTCATCAGTGTTACTTAGCCTCTCTCTGCTTGCTATATGAGAAATAATGATTTCTTAAGTAATTTACACAGTTGTTTCGATGTATATATTGTATTACATTTTTCAAGATGAAGTGTATTTCATATTATATAGGATATGAAATAGGTTTTTTAAAGATATACAAAATCCAGTTTATTGAAGTAAAACAGAGGCTTCAAAAGTAGAAAAATAGGGAGAGAGAGATAGAATCACAATTAAGGCTAAGAACACTCACAGTGACCTGCCACCTGGCACAAGAAAGCGACAGATTTGAAACTAACCTTTCTAGGAGTCATTGAAAAACTGGAATTCTGGTCAGCAGGACTGTTCACAGTATTTACAAGATAAAACTGGTTTGGCCACTTAGGAAAAGAATTCAACTCTTGGCCTTAAAATGAGACAGGAATTTGTCTCAGGATCCTTTTTAAAGTGGGCACATAATATTAGAAGATGGGTATGAAGCAGTCATCTAGGGATAACAGCTTCTGAACAAGAAGTATTGAGATGACCTTAGACAAGCAAATAAACAGGGTGAGGTGTTAACGTGGAAGAGCTCTCTGTTGTTATATGGACGTGTGTATTATGTGGTAGATACATGTTCACCTTTGTCCTACATGCGCATATGTACATCCACAGATCCACATACACCTACACATGCATACAGAGCACACATCCACTAAACCGTACACAATGCGGGTTTCTGTTATGGCTCCTCCTGCTGGGCTGCCTGCTTTACTGTTAAGTGAAGGGAAAGCACAGGCGTAATACAGGGATTTCTGTGATATGCCTGCCAAAAGACCACCCCTCACCCTCACAGAAATTCTCAGGAAAAACAATCTGGATTTAAAAATAACCACTTGCAAGTTCGAGGGAGATTATTTTTTGCTTCATACTCCTCCACAAAGGAGTTTGCTTTGTAGAAGGTAACTTCAGGCCCTTCCCTCTCCCTCAGCATGCCTCATGCTGTTCTTGCCTTATCTCCAGGGTGCCGTGCTGACTCCCTCGATGGAGCACACCATGTCACTACAGCCTGCGTCCATGATCAGCCCGCTGGCCCAGCAGATGAGTCATCTTTCACTAGGCAGCACAGGAACAGTAAGTGAAAAACTGCATGTCATGTGTCTCCACAAGAAGTCAGTGCAGCCAGTGTCTTCCACATCAAATCAGAGGCTCTTGAGAGACAAAGATTTGTCTAATCTTCTCTCAAGCCCACCCCATGTTGCCTTCCACAGAGTACTCAGTGATTTCTTGAATAATTGCAGGATTGAAGGTATTCTCTGGGTTCCACTCTTTTGTCAAATTACAGCATCCAGTCTTGGTCACGTCTCGCTTTTCTCACCAGTCTCCAAAAGCTCTGGTCTCGTGATGCAAAAGATGGTGATAAATGGTGGTAAAGACAGACAATGTTTTCCCAGTTCTTTTATGGAATTTGGGAACACTTTACTCATGATTCTCCTAGTGACTCATTTCACAAGAGTCCAGGGGACTCATTTGAGTAGTGAGATTAGGCTGACATGAGATCAGCATCCAGGTGGGTGTGTATGGAGTTTAAATCATAAGAGATGGCCAGAAGCATTTGGCTAACACATGTATGGTGACTTAAAAGATCAAAAGATAATGTGTTTTCCTTTCTTATACTCAAAACCAGGCTTAACTTCCTCTGAAGGTTAAGCCACAGCCACACACACAGCCCCAAGGCTAAGAATGTCAGCCTCTGGAGATGGTGGCTGTTGGCATCAGGAAGGCTGTGCTTCTGGGCCTAATCTCCAGTAAACTCTTAAAGGTCTCTAAGACATCCACACTTTAGTTTCCATCTAAAGAAATAGTTCTAGCTACCAGTTTGGGGAACTGCTAGAATAACTTCAGTGATGCCGAATTATTGAGAATGAGGAACTTTGATGATTTTACCTGTAGTCCTTTGTTAGGAAATCCAAAGAAACATGAGATTTGTTTGACAAACTCAAAAAAAGTAGAAAACATGGACTTTACTGCAGTATGACATTTATATGCACTAATCTTTGAGGTTAGCCCATTTAAACTTCTATTTTGGACTTCCAAGTACTTTATGTCCACTTCAGTGTTCCCCAGGTACTCTAAATTTTGCTGCTTAGCCCAGCCCATCCTAACCTTATTCTCCCTTCTAGTACATGCCTGCTACATCAGCTATGCAAGGAGCCTACTTGCCCCAGTACACCCACATGCAGACGACGGCCGTTCCTGTTGAGGTTGGTACAGACCATCCAGTGGCCATCCTGGCAGTGAGTAGTCTCTAAAATGAATGAACAAAATAGAATTCAAAATAAAATCTATCAGAAAATCAAAATTCGCATAAAGAATTGACATTAGTAGGAAAATATACCTATCATGTTATTTTCAACTATGAAATAGAGTTCCCTCCATACAAAGTAGAATTACAGCCAGGCCACATCCCCCAGATCCTCAGAAATGTTTTCTAAGCTTATTTGAATTTCCTGCCCCTTCAAAGCTTTGACTTGTTGCGCCAAAGGTAATACTTAAAGAAACACTAAGATAAAATTAAAGTTTGAGATCATAATTTCAAAGATTCTATCACCATGATTAAAAATCACTCAGAGTTCATATACCTAATGAAAATCTGATATTTCAAAACTGTAACACAGATCAGGAAAGCACACCTGTTTTATAGAGGCTGCTAGTGTGACTGAATAATTCTTAGTTGTTAAAATGGAAGATACTGGGATGGAATAATCTGACATCTGAATTATTATTGCACAGAAAGCATAGTATTTTCCTGCAAAGCACTCTTAAAATTCCGTGAAAATTCATCAGTTGATTTTTGTCAGCTAGGCAGATCTCAAAGGTTTCATTCCAAAAAGGCCATCAAACTCGTTTGTATTTCTTGCTTCTGATTATGCATTTATAGACAACCACAGTTACCAGAGCTTACATATTCCTTATCCATGATTCTGAAACTTTTCAAAAACATAAAATAAAAATTCTCTTTGAAATAGTTTAGCAAAACCCTGACCTATGGCAAAACCCAACCTGAACTATGACAAGACAAAATCTTTACCCCATATACTCAGTTTACTCATGCCCTTTAGTCTAGAACTATTGGTGTGTTTGATCATGAGGCACAACCCTAGACCTGCTGGCAGTACTTAGGTGATACACAGCTAGCTCATGAATAGTGAATCTCACATTCTAGATAGAGCCTGAAGATACTGAAGTCCTAATGAGCTTGTTTTTAAAAAAAGTTGTTTGATAAATTGTTGCTTGGTAAAAATGGACAAGTCACACATTTGGAGGGGAAGTTTTCTTTGGTCAGTCAGACACTTCAGCCACTTAGGGCAATTACTAAACCTAGAATCTCTGAGCATGACATTAAAAAATTTACATTAAAATCTATGCCCTTGATCCCATTCAGGCCTATAAAGCAGAGTTAGGATTTCATTGTGTTTTAGTTAGGATTTAATATGTTTTATCTGTTCTACTTTATTCTAGGAGGCAAGTGGTCAGCAGCAAGTGGCTGTCGAGACATCTAATGACCATTCTCCATATACCTTTCAACCCAATAAGTAACTGTGAGGTATGCAAGGAAGGCCACCATAACAGTGGGCTCACATCGTGTAAACCTATAGTTCTTTTATCAAAATAATGCTTAGAATAACTCATATTTGATCATTTTCATTATGGTCACTTCACCTAATTTTATTGAAATGTTAAAATCAATGATATTGTGAATTCGCAGATTTACTGTTCTGTCCAAAAAAGAAAAACATGCTTTATGTTGAAGGCGAATTTTTATTTATTCACTCCCAAAATGTAAAATCTATAACATCAAAGAACACCAGGTACTAGAATTATCCTATAAAGTATTATATATCATATTATTCCAATACTCGTAAACTATAAGATTAGTAATATTTTGACTGTGAGAGTAATGTCAGTGCCATTAGATCAAAAGATTGTACTGCCAGCTCTCACTTGGACCACAAATATGAAAATGTTTTCACTTTACAGTACATAGTGCAGTATAACAGCTGTTGGAACCTGATTTCAGGATTGCCCTAGAAACAGTATGTGTCACTGATTTCAACGTCTCTCCCTTCATCTTTGGAGACCCGTGTGAATTCAGGTTGGTTCCCTGAGAGAAGCAAGTGTTTCTCACATCCCAGATTTGAAAGGCACTGGAAGTGAGCGTCAGCCTACAGTTTGTACCTGTCTACCTCCAGTGATGAGCACTACCTTTTTCAGACATGTAGCTCTTTTAAACAAGAAAGCGATTATAAGGCTTTGTGAAATGTTATACTGAATCTGCAAAAAGCATTTCTCTTTTATCTTCCTCTTCCAGGTGTACAGAAGGGTGTTCTTACATGAAGAAGGGTGTGGAAGCTGAACAATCATGGATTTTTCTGATCAATTGTGCTTTAGGAAATTATTGACAGTTTTGCACAGGTTCTTGAAAACGTTATTTATAATGAAATCAACTAAAACTATTTTTGCTATAAGTTCTATAAGGTGCATAAAACCCTTAAATTCATCTAGTAGCTGTTCCCCTGAACAGGTTTATTTTAGTAAAAAACAAAAACAAAAAAAAAAAAAA